TTATATAAAAAAGGTTAATTATAGTAGATAATTATTTTTCAAGAAGCATTTCCCTGGATCTTCTCAATTGTTCAAGTATTTATTGACACTGTGAGGAGTCTCTGAGTGGCACAAACGGTTAAGCACTTGGCTACTAACTGAAAGACTGGAAATTTGAACCCACCCAAATGTGCCTAAGAAGAAAGGCTTGGCAATCTGCTTCTGAAATGCCACAACCATGAAAACCCTATGGAGCACAGCTCTACTCTGAGACACATGGGGTCACCATGAGTTGGAATCAACGGCAACTGAAACTGATCTTTGCTGCGTCTCCAGGACCCGTACAGGCTCTAGCTCACTGTAGGCTTTATTCTAAAATGTCTGTTGAACTGAACTGCCCAGGATTGTTTTATATACTATGAAGATATAAAAAGAAATATAATTTATGGTTACTCATATAAGTAGCTTGCTGTAGAGTTGGGAAGATACAAGGAAAAAAAAAAAAATCAAACATGGTGATCTGCAGTGGATCCCAAATAGCTGGGAGAATGGAGGGTCATTGACATCTAGTATATTTAGAGAAAGATTTTGGATGAATAGGAATTTCAGTTAATCCTTGACAGCTGGGTAGGATTTGGCAAGGCTGAGGTAGATGGGGAGGAGGAGGAGAAAAGGATAAGTGAAAGCATAGAGGCAGTAATGAGAGATTTGCAGTACATGTAGCTTACAATTTAGTGATTCATATTAAAATATTTGAGGCAGAATGTCCAAGTATGGAAGTCAGTGGAGCAGCAGGCTAAGCATGCTGACTCCTGAGTTAGACTTTCTGTATTCAAATCCCTGTTGCTTCCTTCCCAGCTTTGTGATGTTGGACAATTTACTTAACCTTTCTGTGCCTCAGTTTCATCACCTATAAAATTGTGGATAATCATAGTCCCTGCCTCATAGAGGAGTTGTAAAGATGGAAAGGAATACTGTTTGTAACGTTCTTAGATTAGTGTCTGGCATTTAGCAAGCATTTAATCGTTAGCTGCTTTATCTGTTGTTGTAATGCAATTCTGCTAAGGCTCAATTAAAAGAACTACCCTATTAATTTTGAATCGCTATATCAAATAGCAAATCTCTTGGTCATCAAGGGTGCCTGTTACTGTCTTAGTTGCTACTGAATTTGTGGAGCCCTGGCAGGGATTGGTTAGTTGTAGAAAAGAACGTTTCATGTGTAGAACTCAGAGAGTGGAAGCGTTGAGAGCTAGGGTGAAGAGTCTGGATTTGGTAGTAACTTCTAGGGCACAACTGTTTAGCTCTGGCGGTGCAGTGGTTAAGAGTCTGGCTGCTAACCAAAAGGTTGGCAATTTGAATCCACCAGCTGCTCCTTGGAAACCCTGTAGGGCAGTTCTACTCTGTTGCTATGAGTCAGAATTGACTCGATGGCAACGGGTTTGGTTTGCTAGGGCACAATATTTTCCTGAGCAAGGGAGTGATACGATAAATGTGAGGGGGGAAAGACAGGGCCAGGAGGTCCAGCGAGGACCAGTGAGGGGGCTATTGCAATAATTCAGGTGTTAGGTGACGAAAGCCAGGGACAGGGCTGTGGCTGAGAGAGTGAAATGAGATTGGGAATGTGACTCTTTAAAGGAAAGGTGTCCACTTCTCACCACCTTTACTGCCGCCACCCTGGTGCAAGTCACCATCCTCTCTCACTTGGATTATTGCAATCTCCTCCTCACCTCTCTCTGCTTCTGGTCTTGCCTCCTTGAGTCTTATCTCCTTTGCTCACACCCTCCAGCAGCTGCCGCCTCACTCAGAGGACAAGCTAGAATCCTCAGTGAGACCTACAAGGCTGCACTGTTGGGCTCCCATTACCTGTCTGGCTTCATCTCCTGCTATGTCCCCTCTCATTCTCTCTGCTCCATAAAGCTGTCATCCTTGTTATTCCTTAACACATCACACCTTCTCCTGCCCCAGGAAATTTGCTTTTGTCTGTTCTTCCTGCTAAATATCTGCATAGATAATTCTTTCACCTCCTTCATGGCTCTGCTCAAATGGCACCTTATTAGTGACACCTTTAAAAAATAGTCACTCTTGCCCACCTCAGCACTCCCTGTTCCCCTTGCCCTACTTGGTTTTTATTTCATAGACTGCATCACCACCTGACGAATGATCTATTTACTTTATTTGCTCATTATCGAATTTACCCACTAAGATGTTAGCTCTATGAGGGCAGATACTTTTGGCTGTCTTGTTCGCAGATGTACCCCCAGGACCTAGAACAGTGCCTGGCTTATAGTAGGTGTTCAATAAATGTGTTGGGTGAATGTATGAATAAAAAGTAATCACATTTGTAGTGTTAGGCACAATGCTGGGTGCCCTTCTCAGAAGCTGCCTTATTTAATCTGGCAATGACACCGTCAGGTAAGTATTGTTTTCGCTCTTTGACAAATGACCAACTTGAGACACAGAGAGGTGAGGTGAAAAGGGCACAGAGCTGGTAAGTGACACAATCAGGAGTTGCGTTCAGTTCCTCTGACTCCAAGTCCTTGGCTCTTACTGCTATTCTGCATCGTTAGGAAGAGATAAGGAAGGTGACGTCAATATGATGCCAAGGTTTCTAGCCTCTGACAAACGGAGAAGTGGTGGAAGCACCAATGGAAACAGGAATGCTGGGAAAGAAGACCAGTGTTTCGGAAAAAGAAGTAGTTAAGTGAGGAGATGCTGGATCAACTAAATATTCTGGGGGAGACGCTGCTTTTAGGTTATTGTTGTTAGTTGCTATCGGTCAGCTCCAACTTGTGGTGACCCCGTGTACAACAGAACAAAATGTTGCCCAGTCCTGCCCCATCCTCACGATTTTAGTATGCTGTAGTCCATTGTTGCAGCCACTGTGCATTTTGAGTGCCTCCCAACCTAGGGGGCTCATCATCCAGCACTGTATCGGACCATATTCTGTTGTGATCCATAGGGTTTTCTTTTTCTCTCTCTTTTTTTTTTTTTTTGCAGTTACAGATCTTATTTTCAAGTACAAAATAGTGGTAAAAACAATAAAAAAAAAAAAAAAACCCAAACCCGTTTCCGTCGAGTCGATTCTGACTCATATCTGCACTATAGGACAGAGTAGAACTACCCCATAGGGTTTCCAAGGAGTGGCGGGTAGATTTGAAGTGCTAGCCTTTGGGTCAGCAGCTCTAGTTGCTAACCACTGCGCAACCAAGGCTCCAAAATAGTGATAGTAAATGTCTTATGGAGTGAATATGCTTCTTGACTCATTAATTTAAAAAAAAAAAAAACTTTATTTTGCATGGAGGAACCCTGTTGGCACAGTGGTTAACAGCCAAGGCTGCTAAACAAAAGGTCGGCAGTTCGAATCCACCAGCTGCTCCTTGGAAACCCTATGGGGCAGTTCTGTTCTGTCCTTTAGGGTCTCTATAAGTTGGAATTGACTTGACTGCAACGGGTTTGGTTTTCTTGGTTTTTTAGTTTGCGTAGCAGTTTTAGGTGTACAGAAAAGCTTTTCGTGGAAAGTACAAAGAGTTCCCATATCCCGCTTCCCACCCCTGCACACAGTTTCACCTATTATTAACATCTTGCATTCTTGTGATACATTTTTTTCTTTTTAGTTTTATTTTGTTGTTGTTGAGAATATATACAGCAAAATATACACCAGTTCAGCTGTTTCTCCGTGTACAAAATCAGTGAAATTAATTACATTCTTTGAGTTGTGCAGCCATTCTCACCCTCATTTTCTGAGTTGTTCCTCCCCCATTAACATAAACTCACTGTCCTCTAAGGTTCCTATCTCATCTTTCGAGTTGCTGTTGTCAATTTGATCCCTTATAGATAGTTCTTAAAAGAGCATAATGCTCAGACATTTTTTACTAGTTAAGCTAGACTATTGTTTGGTTTTAAGACTTCAGGGGATATTTTTGGTCTAAGTTTTAAAGATTATCTCAGGACAATAATTTCAGAGGTTTATCCAGCCCCCATGGCTCAAGAAAGTCTGGAGTCCATGAGAATTTTAAATTCTGTTCTGCATTTTCCCCCTGTTGATCAGAATACTTCTAAAGAATCTTTGATCAAAATGTTCAGTAATGGTAGCCAGGCACCACCCAGTTCTTCTGGTCTCATGGCAAAGGAGGCAGTTGTTCATGGAGGCAGTTAGCCACATCTTCCATATCCTCCTCCTATTCCTGACTCTCTATAGGGTTTTCATAGGCTAATTTTGGGAAGTAGATTGCCAGGCTTTTCTTCCTAGTCTGTCTTAGTCTGGAAGCTCCACTGAGACCCATTCACCATGGGTGATCCTGCTGGTATTTGAAATACCAGTGACATAGCTTCCAGCATCATGACAACACACAAGCCACACCACACTTCAACAAACTGACAGATGAGTGGTGGACCCTTAGGTAGGGTGACTAATATGTTGTCCAGACTGGGACACTTCTGAGAGTGAAAGAAGGTACTATTAAGCTGGGACAACAGGCAGAAATCAGGACTGTCTCAACAAAGGAGGACAAGTGATCACCCTGGATTTAGGGGATTGGAATGTCAGTGACTGAGAGGTCATGACTAGAGATGTGGGTGTCTCCCTCCTAGAGGTACGCAGGGAAGCCACGAGGATGATGTCTCATCATGATGTAGGGGGAAGAAGAGAAAGTCAAGGCCAGCTTTGATACCCTCTCACAGATAAGAGTGGGAAGAAAAAGAGGAATCTGTGAAAGACAGAAAAACCAGAAGGGCACAGAGGCCAAGAGGAGGGGTGGACAGGAAGATGGGGAAGTGGGTGGAGGCCACATTTTGTGGGGCAACTTAAAAGTAGGTCAGCTGGAACTTGGCAACAAATAGACAAAAATGAGAGTGATTAGAGAATGACTTACTTGCTTTTTGATTTTGTAACAAAATTTTCATCCACTTCAGCAAAGTGCTAAAAGGCATTTATATTTAATTAAAGCAGATTAAAATTAATTTTTGATTAGAGAACATTTTTCTGCTACTCTCCTTATTATACCCTGAGACCCTTTGGTGTGCTCAAGGTGTAGGTGCAGGATTAGGAGCTGGGGTTTGGTGTTCCTGCCTGGAAGCTTCCTTCTGCTCCGCATGGCCCCAGGCACAGAAGGTCCTCCAGTGAGAGTGCCAATTGACACAGATACAGTCTGGGCCCCAGTTGGAAGATGCAAAGGGAAAGGGGATAATTTTGACATTTCTTTGAGGTCAGGAGGATTGTAAATTGAGCTTCTGGGCCAGCCTAGGTAACATCAGAAATTTTGATAATTTCATTATCAGTTCAAGCAGTTTCAGCCTCTTACTTCAAAGAGGGGAGAGAAAGCCCCTAAAACAAAACAAAGCAAAACAGCAAATAAGAAAACATAATTGAAATGCATTAATAAAAATGTTGGTGAAATATATCTAACAACAGAGTTGTTTATCGGCTGGTGGTTTGTCATGTAGAAGTGAAAGCTTGGTTGCTAATCACAACGTTTTTGTTTATCCAGACATGGTTAGTCCATCTGCCTTTAGCCAGAAGGGAACTTTTCCAGGTAAGAGTATGAATAGCACATGGTATAGAGTTCTCAGTTTATTAGATAGTAAAGTCACATGTCCAAGGCCCTGGAAACAGACTCTATTCCTTGCATTCTCTGAAGCAAGTATTAATAGTTGTGTTGGATAACAGCATCAGGCAGAAGATAAGCAGCAGGCCTGCCCATAGTTTCTTTTTATCACAACAAAAGTGTTACTGGGCTGAAATCACTGTGACACATAACTTCTTGAAACCAAAAGAGGAATAAAATGTCCGAGGAATTCAAAAGGAAGAAGATCATTAACTTTGAGCTGACATATATCACAGAACTCAAATAGATCTAGAGGGCTCCTCTGAGAAAAGAAAATGCGTGACCCTAGACCACCCCTGCACGGGATGCTAATCTCAATCCCTTTATACGGGTTTGCACAGAAGCAGTCCCTCCATAGCTGGTTTTCATGCCATATCTGATGAACACGTGTAGCCAAGGCTGACCCTGTGCAGAATGAGGAAGTGGGGTTTATTTTGGCACACCACACCCCTCTGTCCTTCTCTACTCCACCCATTAAAGAGCTTCATGTAAGGTTTTGCATTCAAATCAATAATTTATTAGAAGCATATGGTGCAATATCAACCATGTTCAATGCTTCCCTCCTTTTCTCTTTTATCACCTTCATCCCACCTCCTCTCCTCTCATTCCATCTATTCTATTTTCCACGGCTTTTCTTGCTTTCCCCTTCTCTTTGACCATTCATCCTTTTCTTTCCTGAGATATGAAAGGGGTGGTGGGGGAGGTAGGTAGGTAGTTTGAGAGAGAGAGACAAGACAGGGACTGAAGCAGGGTTGTTATCTGTAGATTGTAAATCTGTAATGTTTGCTGATCCCAAGGGTTTCTCTGTATTGTTGTTTGTTTTCATCTTATAGGATTATTGGGAGGATGAAATGCGGAGTATTTAGCCCAGCGCCTGGCATGCAACAAGGTCTCAATAAACACTAGTTGTTATTAGTATTTAAAAGTTTGCCCTTGAAATAAACATTTTTACATCTAGAACATTCCATTTGGGTGGGGACTTCTTTTCTCTTTTTAAAAAAGTTCCTGCCTCTGAAGTTCTTTCAGGGTAATTATATGCACACACACATTTTCTTTCTCTGTTTTACAGAAGGGGCACAATGCAGAGAAAAGCCCATGCTTGATCTAATAAAATGGCGTTCAAAATATTTTGACCATCACCCACACATCTATATAAAACAAAAAACAAAGTTTCAGTAAACAATACTTACCTTCACTACTTGCAACACATTTTACTTCCTATTTTATTGTGTTCTGCTCTGTTCCATTCTTTAAAAAAAAAAAAAGTGCTGACGGTCACATACTCAATTTCATGACCCATAATGGGTTGTTACCTTCAGTTAGAAAAATAGCAATCTAGTGTGGTGCAGTGGTTAAGCATTTGGCTGCTAACCAAAAGGTCGACAGTTCAAATCCACCAGCCGCTCCTTGGAAACCCTATGGGGCAGTTCTTTCCTGTCCTACAGGGTCGCTCTAAGTCAGAATCGACTTGATGGCAACGAGTTAGGTACTTGGGACTTTGCTGGTTCCCTCTGGGCCTAGTACCCCCACCCTGACTCTCCAGATTTATCATACTCTCAACTCTTCCAGCTCCTCCTTTTTGTCTTCCAAGTTAAGGAATAGCAAATTAGAAATGCCTTTTTAATCTTTTTCTTCCCCTTCCATATCTGTTTCCTTCTCTCTCCTCCCATACTCTCTCCAGAGTGTGCTAAAGGTTTTGGGCTATTAGGATGGGAACACCCCTCCACTCCCTAGCAAGAAATGATCATTCTTAACTGTTGCTTCCTATATAACAGTAATAATAATAATAATAATGCTGATGCTAACAGTCATAATATATAGTAAAAGGATACAAATGACAACCAGCCAAAGGGAGAGATGCATATGGCAAGGTCTGGGAGAGTCCCAAATGCAAAGCTTCCATTATCCTTTCCTACTGGAGTCAGGACGTGTCACTCTCCTGGCATGTCAACCTGTGACAGTACAGGCTGTTGTCACTCAGAGAAGCTCACCGGAGCCTTGGTGTCCACAGGTAGGCATAATTGTTTGAATCATTGGCCATGAGATTGAGCTCAGCCTCCAGCCCCTGTCCCTTTCTCAGAGGTAGAGGCTAATATCTGTGGCTCAAAACTCCAAACCTCTAATCATATGGTTAGTCTTTCCGGTTTGGCCAACCGCCCATCCTGAGTCATTGCGTTAGCATAAATTATTATGTGTTGTTCAAGGGGCTCGCCATGTATAACAAAGACACTCCAATCACTCAGAAAATTCTAAGGGTTTAGAGGTTACCTCCCAGGAACCTGGGACATGGGCCAGCCAAATACTTTATTACACACTTGATACGTTGCAAACTTTAATATGAAAACATTTTATAAAATTTGAGTCATATGTAAGTATCCATGCAGAGAAAATTCCTGTAGCATTTATTGTTTGGTCTTTATTTTAATGCCTTGCTTAGTTAATTAATTTTTAAAAATTTAACAAGTAACAAATTTTTCTCTGGTTATAAAAGTAATATGCCCACTGTTACAATTCTAGATCATGCAGTCAAATGTGAAAATGAAAATAAAACTGACCCCAAATTTTATCACCCAAATATAACAGCTATTCATCTTTCAGTGCAGTGTGAATGTGTTATGCCTTCTGACATGTTTCATTTGGCTCACACAATGTTTTAAAATGTTTTTTCATGTAAAAACCTAGATTTCCAGTGTCTCTTGAAAAACATATCAGGATCTGACAACACTGGGCCCACATTCTTGCGGGGCAACAGCTGATTGGAGCTGAGTAGCAGCTGCCCCTCTTAGACAGGGCACCCCCAAAAAACCAAACCTGTTGCTGTCAAGTTGATTCTGACTCATAGCAACCCTGCAGGACAGAGTAGAACTGCCCCATAGGGCTTCCAAGGAGCGGCTGGTGGATTTGAACTGCTTACTTTTTGATTAGCAGCTGAGCTTGTAACCACGGTGCCACTAGGCCTCTTCTTGGACAGGGCAGGGCATACATATTTCTTCTATCCCAGTCCCCACCACTCCTACTTTTCTTACTCTTGGTCAGCTTCATTCACTTGTTATTCTATGCCCTGGTAGACATTTGACTTTTCTCTCCTTTGTTTTAAAAATAATTCTTTACCCAACAGTTCAGATCCAAAGCTATACTTTTTGTGGGTGGTGGTGGTGGCAAAGGGTGATGGAACGGTGGGGGTCCCTCTGGCGCCTTGGTGGAGAGGGTGGGAGACAATGGTCTTTCACTCCTGGCTTCTGTTCTTTCTTTCTTAGTACATCTGAAATTTAAACATGCTCTACATCTAGGGGATTAATTTCTTAATAACTTCCCAAATCTATTCTGCGTGTTATTTATACAACTTTGACCATATTCCTATAAAATAATAATGCTGACTTTATTATGCTAGGAAATACTTCCTCCCTCCTTGCTTTTACACATTGCCTAACAGTAATGGTCCAATTCACTTCTTCTTAGTCCCTTGGTTTCTCTTTAGGCCTAGATCTTTCCATCTGACTCAAACACAATTGGATTATAAATATATTCCCATGTCATTAAAAATTATTTATGACAATGAACCGTAATGGCTGCATGATGTTCCATTATGTGGATATATCACATTTGCCTGACCTTTTCTCTCAATGGTTGAGGGCTCAGTGGGAGGTGGGCCCAATGAGAGGGCATGTCTAGTGGTGGAGGAGGGGAGGGAGGAGATGGTGGGGCCAGGGTACCGATAAACAGATTCTAGAATTGTTTGCTTTTAAAGGCAAAAGTCTAAGATGAACAGACAGGCTGAAAACTAGAGGTACAAAGTCAATGGGTTAGATGACAAGTGAGGGCTAAGACACCATATCAGAAACCTGCAAGGAGGTCAGGGGAGAAGATGACCAAAGAGTGAGGAAGCAGGTGGATGGGAGAGGGAATCCATAGTCATTTCTGAGCAGGGGTGCAGTTGTATGCTGCATTTAAAAAACTAATTAGGTTTCCCTTCCTATTAGATAATTTTAAAAGAGCAGAAGCAAACAATAATTTATTTATTCCCCTAAAGTTGAACATTTAGGCATTGCCAACTTTCCACTCTTATAAATATTGTTGGGATGAAAATCTCAGTGCATAAAGCTTTGTATATTTTGAATTATCTCCTTAGGATAGATTTGGAAGATGGAAATAGAAGAACTTACTCTTTTTAAGAATATTGAGATATGTTGCCCAATGTTTATGTAGAAGTTATTCATATATACACTCCCATGAACAGTGTGCATGGAGTAAATCACATAAATCTTCAAATGAAAGCTGCTACTAGCATCTGTACTCCATATCTGAATTTTTTTTCTAGGCCACTGGCTTTCAGACTTTTTTGACCATGACCCACAGTGAGAAGTAAATGTTACATGGTGACTCAACACATACATGTGTCTAACAAACAAAAGTTTCAACAAAACCATTACTTGCCCTTCCTCTATGTGAGGTACTCTGTTAAATTCATTGTCCTAACATCATTAAAAAAAAAAGCTGGTCACGACTCATTAAATTGATATAATAACTTTCTAATGGGTCATTACTCTGTTTGAAAAATACCATTCTAAGATAATTTCTGTTTTTCAAGCTGACTTCCTTCTTAGGATTTTAGCTTCTCTTTTTTCTCACCTAGTTAAGCCCTAGAGTTGTATTTTCCAATAATCCCTTTACACTGATGACCTGTTTTGGATTTGCTGTCCTGGATTTGGCTATTACCTACAAGGCATGACTTCCGGACTGTACCCACTGTCTTGGGCACCCCAGTCCCTGTTGTGCCCCATTCAGCTTCCTTGGGGCCTGTCCTGAGCTGGCACGATCTCTTGACAGGCTTGGGAAATTTGATGGGGAATGAAAGTTCTTGTCACATTGAACACAGCATTGAGTACCACCATTTAGAAAAAAAAAGAAAAAAGATCTTACCTAGACCATTCTCACCCAGATAGTCAAATGTTGACTCCTGCATTTCCTCCCATCTCTGCTCAAATGTCACTTCCTCAGAGAGGCCTTCCCCAAATAGGCATCTCAAATAGAGCCACTGTCACTCTGTCCCTTCATGTTGCTTTAGGTTTTCTTTGTAGCTTTTACCAAGGATCTGGTTATACTTGTCAGAGAATGTTATAGCAGGAAAAGACTTAAAGGCCAGATCTGGTCCAATCACCTAACTTTGTTGTTGTTGTTATGTTCTTCCCAGTTGATTCTCACTCATAGTGACGCTACAGGACAGAGTAGAACTGCCCCGTAGGATTTCCTAGGCTGTAATCTTTATGGGAGAAGATTGCCAGGTCTTTTTTCCTGTGGAGCCACTGGTGGGTTTGAACCACTGACCTTTTAGTTAGCAGTCAAGTGCTTAACCATTGCGCCACTAGGGATTCTCCGCTGACTTTACAGGGAGGAATGCAAGTGCAAAGAGGTAAATAAATATTCCATGGTGACCTAGGTTATTTGTGGCAAAGCTGAATCACAAACTCAGATTTCTAGATACTCGTCAGTTCTTCTCTAGTTTATGCTGCTGTTCCAGTCCATGCTGTAACCCTGTGTCTTAGTTATCTAGTGCTGCTCTAACAGAAATGCCACGAGTGGATGGCTTTAACAAAGAGAAATTTATTCTCTCACAGTCCAGTAGGCTACAAGTCCAAATTCAGGGCATCAGCTCCAGGGAAAGCTTTCTCTGTCGGCTCTGGAGGAAGGTCCTCATTGTCATCAATCTTCCCCTAGACTAGAAGCTTCTCTGCGCAGGAACCTCAGGTCCAAAGGACACACTCTGCTCCTGGCACTGCCTTCTTGGTGCTATGAGGTCCCCCTTCCCTGCTTGCTTCCCTTTCCTTTTGTCTCTTGTAAGGTAAAAGATGATGCAGGCCACACCCTAGGGAAACTCCCTTTACATTGGATCAGGGATGTGACCTGGCTAAGGGTGGTATTACAATCCCACCCTAATCCTCTTTAACATAAAATTACAATCACAAAATGGAGGCCAACCACACAATTCTGGGAATCATGGCCTAGTCAAATTGATACACACATTTTTGGGGGGACATAATTCAAACCATGACACCCTGGTAATGAGGGTTTTGTGGTTGTTTGTTTTTAGTAACTTTTTCTTATAGTAGTCTCTAGGATGCACTGCGTTAGATTGGATTGTACTCAATAGTAGACACCAAAAAAAACAAAGCAAGCCTCTTGCTGTTGTGTCAATTCCAACTCATGGTCATCCCATGTGTTACAGAGTAGAACTGCTCCATAGTTTTCTTGGCTGTAATCTTTACAAAAGCAGATCACCAGGTCTTTCTTCTGCAGTGCTGCTGGTTGAGTTTGAACTGCCAACCTTTAGGTTAATAGTTGAGTGCAAACCATTTGCACCACCCAGGGACCTCTTTAATAGTAAATAGAGATATGAAAATATTCTGATGTATTTCTCACTGGAAGCATAAATCATTTAGACAGTATAAAGGTCGTTATCTTTCTCAAATAGAATCTTCAGCATCAGCACCAGTCTGGGGGACCAGAGAAGATCTTGAAATCTTGGAACTAAAAGTTGGTCTGGGTTAGCAGCAATAGTAGATTAGGTGGCAAGATAGCATACTCAAGAGAGGGGTATGATGTGTGGGAAGAAGACAAGTGTAGATGAAGATGGTGAACATTCATCGTAGATTCAAAGAGTGAGCTTGAGGTTGGAGATAAAGAAATATTAATATTCTACATTTTACACAGAAGAAAACTGAGGCATACAGAAGTAACATAGATACCACCCTGTGTCTGTATGGCCCCCAAAGCCTCTTACCAATTAAACACAACTACAATATCAGAGGAGAAAATGTTAGATATAAAGATCCAGAAGACTAACTGAGGTTGGTAGCCAGAAATTCCATACAGGCAAAGTAAGACTTGCATTTAAGGCTCCAGTGAGGCACAGGGTTTGATGGTGAATGGAATCAGGAGAGGGAGATCAAGTCTTGTGTCACAAAATTCGATAAAGGAGACAGAGGTCTACCCAGCAGCACAACTAGGGTACAACTGTTGGTTCTCAGCAGAACCTCCCAGACTAGAGAGCAAAGTTGGCTGGGTATTTGGTGTTCTGCTGG